TTCAAAAGTCAATTGAACTCGAAATCACAATTAGGAAATATGAATCAAGAACAGAAAAAATAAAATAATAAACTGGGAAGGCTTACTTGACTTTTGCCAAGGATTACCCCCTTAAGACTTCACACACGCCACACCCGATCACCCGATCCATGGCTCACTTGATCCTTAGATCATGCTGAATCTACCAATCTGAATTAGGAAGCACATTTGGAACAACCTTATCGGACATCTATGGGGATGAGAGCAAGGATCACAATTACCCTTTTAATCCCATGGGGTATTCCACTCTGGGCTGCGCGTGCCCCCTTTCTCTCTTGGGAGGTCTATGCCACCCCAAATTCTTATGGGGGGTGGCATGCCACTTTAGAGAGAGAGAAAGAGAGAGAGAGAGAGAGAAAGAGAGAGAGAGCGAGGAGAGAGGAGAGTGGCATGGAGAGGAGAGAGAGATGGAGACAGCTGATATACTAAGAATGAGGGGGAGTCCCCTAGTTATATAGGCCTAAAGGGCCCAAAGGTGTTCCAATCAGATTAGGTTTTGGCATTGTCTAGAATATTTAAGTACTATGTGTGGTGAGAGATAAATAATCTGAATCATTGATCTCTAAGACCAGCCATCATGATTTATAGAAGATATTTAGGAACCTTATCCCATAAGATTTGACCCATATCCACTTCTAATCCATGTAGATTATAAATAATCAAAATATATCTCTTGATTTATTTTAAAAATTCCTTTTTAATCTCATCACGGGATATTTAAGAATTTCAAAATAAAACAAATATGGTCCAAATAATCTAGATCCTATAAAAATATCACAAAAGATTTACTTAAAAAATATCTATGAATATTTTTACTTAACCAAAAAAGATATTTTCTGTAATAAAAATGACACCCTCAAGATACCCCAAATTAGTGAGAAAAATGGGGCATCACTCTATGTGGGGTGCGTGGCCCATCGGGGCTCCACGTCCCACACCATGTCGACCCCACATGTGTAGGGGCTGGGACCTTAGCCCCCCCACGTGGGGCCCACCACATAAGACCATTATTTTGAAAACCACCCCTTTTTAGAAAAAAAAAATTCAGAAATAACCTTTAGGGAGCATTTATTCATTGAAAATCAATTTTAAAGTTCTAAAAATCCAAAAATCACATAAGCATAAATACGGTTGAAAGCAATATTTTTAGGGTTAAATAAAAATTAAAAATACATAGAAATACCTCTAGAAGTGGATTGATATCAATAGGTCAAAAGTGACTATCAAAGCACTCCACCGATGCCAAAATCCATGATCCACAACGGCCTTCTCATACCAACCAAGCGAAACCCATGACCTATGCTGAGGCTCATGATTCGCCCATCAAATTTAGCCAATAAATAATGGAAACATAGTCTCGTGTATGTGGATCACAGGTTCCCCCATTAAGAGCAAGTCAGATGCACATATCACTATAATGCAAGAGAATCTCTCTATGCACATGTAAACGTATCCCTCCATAGGAGACTACGAAGCTCTCTAGACCTACAAACAATATCCTTTGGCATCTCTCCGACCTTAGCAAGAGATGACCCTCTATAAACCCTCAACGGTAGTGCTTATGCCTAAGAAAAAGGGTTTTGGACATGACCTGGGTCATAGACCGCCCAACCCTAGGTAAATCAACCATAGCACAATTCCACTGAAGTACACAAATCACTATAATGTATTATATTTACATGCTCTCATGGCCTTCAAAGGCAATAAGGCCCAACAAGGCATAGGCTTGAGAAAATAGTATATCAGGCAATTCCCAATCTCCTCCTTAATACATAGCACCTCATCTGTATCATGTGCAACTACAAGCTTCTTGTCCACAATATGCAGTGGGGTAACGATTCTGAATAAATTTTTAAAGGTCTGGTGGGACTTCAGAGAACAACCTAGTGTAAAACCATTAGGGGTTGCCACTAAAGGCACGCTAGTCCAATGGCATTAGAGAAGAGGCAAGTGGTTTAGTGGCATTAGAGGTTAAATCATGTTTGAGCGAATGAAGGCAGGAAGTTCTTGTGTTGCATATTCCACAAGGCCAATACAGTCATGCACCTTCCCACCTACCTCTTATCTAGGTAATGCCATTATACAAAGGGAAATTGATTTCCAATATAGTAAACTTACAAATGAATACTTCAATAGTGAAGGAGACCCAAGTCCAAGTTTTAACTTACAGTGGAGAAACTTACAAATGAATCAGAATACTGGAGTGAGCTTTCATTTTCAAAAATATCCACGTGTATTGAGAGAGAGAGAGAGAGGTGGCAGGGGGGGAGAGGATGCCTAACATATTTCCATGATCTGGAAGAAACCATTCGGACTTGGAAATCCCTCTATAATTTGGCTTGGGAAATGGTTTGCGTAGTATGATCCAAAAACAGAAGAAAAGTGGTGCTGTAAATTGATAGAACCACGTAAAACTGATTCATGCCATAAGCATCCGAGGTGCTAAATACCACCAAGGAATTGAGGATACTACACATTCCCCTAATCTATTTGCTACATCATTAGTCTCTCTAATAACACGGCAAGTGCTAACCATTGCAGAGTGGCTAAGATGGAGAATATCTTCAATGAGGTTCACTAGTCTTCAAGCATGTGCCTTACCTCAGCACACCCAATGGATGTTAGATGAGTCCCCCTTCAAAAAGGCAGGTCTAGAGATAGATTATGCAAAAAAGCTTAATTGGTCAAGATGGTGGTGGCTTCAACAATAGTGGCATTGTAAAGCCCCACAAGCCATGGGTTTTGATAAGGTCAAACAAATAGCCTCAAAGCAGTCTTTAGAAAGTCCTTCAGTGCTACTTGGGCCCGGAGTGTCCATCCCATTGTTAGAAAAACCGAGCAATCTAACCGCTAACCGCTAACCGCCCAGTTAGATCGGAATCGGCCAGTGACCGGTTCCCGTTTTGGGCGATTTTGGTGATCAATCGGTATTTTTTAAAAAAAAAAATCAAAAAAATGTACATAAATTTCCAAAAATAAGGAATTTGGTTTGTAATGCATTTTTTAATATTCTTCACATTATGGTAAAGATTAAAAATTGTTTTTGTCATTAATACTCACTTAAATTCAAAAATCGATTCGTTAAAATCTATTTTTTTTCATTAATTTTCAACTTCATTTGAATGTGTTTTATTGTAATCATTCTTTATATGCTTTTCATAGTTTAGCAGATTTTTTTTAATCTTTTTTATTTTTTAACAAGTTTTTGACCGCCCGGGACTTGCCGGTTAGAATGGTTAAATTGGCCAGTTTACCGGTTAGGCCGGCTAAACCGCTTCTAGGCCCATGTCCGGTTAACCGTTCCGGTTCGGATTTGCAAACACTGGTCCATACAACTTGTCAATAACATTAAAGCTTTGAGGTGCCATATTGGACAGACCCCCAAAAATAGTCTTGAGATTCAATGTCAACCACCAAGTATCAGTCACTAACAAAATTTGGGCGCCTGAAAACTCGGAAATCCTCTCCTGCTAAATCCCAGGCAATGGCTAGATCATGAATCCACTCTCTAATAGTGCCAAACAGTGCTTGTTCCTCACTTTTCATGGGCTTCATAATATAGCAGTAAATCAAAGCTTCAGAAATAGACACTATCTCCAGCTGGGAAGTAAGAATCCAGCAGCAGCACATGAGGTAATTCACTGAGAAAGGCATCATTTCCCCATAAAATGGTGAATTCCCCCAACTTAATCAATTCTAAAAAAGATAACTCCAATATTCACAAAACATATTTTAAGATGTCTTGTTACTAACTAAATGGTAAAGATATTAGAACTACCAAGCATAAATCTGGGGAACTCAACAGACTTGATAAAATCCTAGAGAAAACTTTCAACAGTCATGTGGAATGGTTAAGAATCTTAAGATTCTTGTCATGCCACTTCTATTTAAATTTATGAAGGAGACCTGCTTTAGTTACAAATAAAAGCAAGTGAAATAGAGTACTGCAAAACAACATAATTTCACAGTGGCATGGAGAAACAACGGATTTTTTGACACTGAATTAAAGAGGATTTAGAAAAAAAATTGCTAGCGGAATGACAATGTGTGAGAAATTCACAAAAACAAAAATTTGGTTATCAACCATATCAAGTAAGAAAATCCTACGAATTTGAATACTTCATTGATTAGACTTCTCGCAAGCCAATCAAAAGTTCAAGACTTAGCTCTGATCAATGGGCTCTCTTTTAATTGACAGCCACCATAATTTGACTTTTCATCCAAAATATTAAATATAAACGCATTTCTGCACTGTCAGTAAAGTGCCCAACATCTACTCATGCAGACAAGGGGGAAATGGTAGTCCCATTCAGTGATGTTATAATGGTGCAAAATGTAATGATGCCCGTATGAGCTGTTTCATGTTACCAAATAAAACCTATGAAACGGAATATTGTAAGAAGACTCTCAGCTTGTAGCTCTACCAATAAGAACTGCAATTTGGGAATCACTTTTTGAATACTTGAGACATATTACCCCATTTCTTGACATTTTAAAATTCCAGCCTCGCACCAGATTTCATTTAAAGTAACGAACAGAAAGGAAGTGCAACAAGAAGTGAGATCACATGGGTGCAATTGTGCATTTCTTTAATGAGATTCTGTCAAAACGAGAAAGGCCGTACCCCATACAAGAATAATACCTGCAGGCAGAGCGATATTTATCAATGCAAATGTTTCAATCAGAAGACCATCAGAAATAAATGTTTTCAGTTTTCCAACAGAACTTATATTATCCTTATTTCAGACAAAAATCGTCAATGGACAAGCAACACACGAATTAGTTGCATAGTTTAGCTATGTGCAGGTGTCCGGAAGAAAAAGAGACATGATTTTTAATAAACTATAAAAACTTATTGAATATCAACTAAACAAGCTAATAACTATCCCTTGATCTTTTAAAGAGAAACCACTAGGAAAGGAAATTTACCAGTAGATCACATGACCAAGTACAGCACATACCTCATGAGCCCCAAAGCCCGATCTTGATGCACACATTTAAATGTGCTGTGCTCATCTCCTGGTACACCGGAGGAGCTCAAATATCTGAGTATCTTTTGGACTGCCCATGCCATGCTATATCACCCATGACATGGAAAACCCATGTCTATGAAGCAACTTTGGGAACCAAATGGATTCTAAGAGGTGCCCGATGAGACTTCCATGGATGAAATAGCAACGAAATCTCTATCCTATATTGCAGATTCTATACCCATGCTATGATATACCTGCAGGGCTTCTTTAAAAAGGCCCTTCTTCGTCAATTCAGTAATAAGGGTACGATAGGTACAAGCCTTACTACGGAGACCCTTTTCTGACATTTCCTCATAGAGATCAAACGCAATATCCAACTGCTTCTCTTTGCAATATTTCGTTATAAGTATGTGGTACGGTACATGGTCAAGAGGCACATCCATTTTCTTCATCTTAACCAAAAGCTCATGGGCCTCATGCGTTTCGCCACTTATGCAAAGCCCACGAATCAACTCTGTATAAGTGACTGTGTCAGGGTGGTACCCTTTTCTTAACATTTCATCGTGCAATTGAAATGCAAAATATACATGACCAAAACTACACAACACACTTATAAGCAGGTTGTACGTAACCACATCAGGAAGAATCCCATTTTCAAACATCTCTTCCTTCAACATGAATGCTCCTTGAAGATTTCCTTCCTTCACATGAGCATGAATAAGGGCCTTGTAGGTGAAAATGTTGGGTGCCACATTTAATGCTAACATATGATCTGTCACCTCATATACAAGCTCTATTTCTCCACATCTTCCATACCCATCAATAACTAAATTCCACACAAAAGGGTCAGGAAGGATAGAATCATCTAACATCTTGTGGAGAAGCTGATGTGCTCTGCATACATTTCCGTGCAAGCAAAGGCCTCGAATAACCAGTGCATAAGAGATGTGATCAGGTAAAACACCATTAGAAGACATTTTAGAGTGCATGATCCATGCTTCTACCAATTTCCCTTCTCTACAGTGTCCATTTATGAGAGTACTATATGTCACAATGTTAGGAGAAATTCCCTTCTTAAACATTTCAGAGAAGAACTTATAAGCAAAACTCATATCGCCTCCCATGCAAAATCCATTAATAATAACATTATATGAAACAACGTCTACCAAGGTACCTTTTCTCAACATTTCATCCCATAATTCAAGAGCCTTAAGCATATTCCCTTCCCTGCAATGTCCATTCATAAGAATGGTCATAGTGATCAGATTAGAGGCCTCGTGCTCAGTTAGTATCTTTGCTAAAAGCTTATTAGCATCTTCCAATTGACCCCTGTTGCAAAGGGCATTAACAAGTATATTACAAGTGATTCTGTTGGGTTTGATGCCATTCACCACCATAAAATTTAGAAGAACAAAAGCACCACCAATATAATTAAATCTACAGAACCCATCAACTAATGTAGTATAGGTGACACAATCGGGGATCAACCCCACTTTCATTATCTCTTTCAAAAGCCTATTTGCCTTTGCGAGATATCCCAGTTTGCAGAGACAATTCATCATGTGGTTATAAGTACCAATATCAGGAACAACAAGCAATTTTTCTCTCAACCTAAGAGCAACTTCTACCTTGCCTTTGTGACACAACGCCCTGATCAAGCCAATGTGCTTGCAAATATTGGGGCCAAATTTATTCCCTGAATAATCAGTGTACCCATCCCCTGCACCAATTTTCTTCAACCTACGTAAGGCATTGTTTTTTGCACATTTATTCTTCAGAATAAACTTTCTAGAGCCCAAATTTCTTGATGAATTTTTACCCATACTTTTTCCTATGATCAAAGAATCACCACCCAATTGTTTTATTCCATTGATAATCCCCAAATTCTTTGTGCACCTAGTAAATGAGGAGAAAATCACATGGTTCAAATCGAGAATCCCTTTGTTCATCTTCAAAAATCTCACCAATCTATTGCAATATTGGAAAGGAAGAATGTAACCATGTCTATTGATCACACCGACCACTAAAACAACTTCCTCAAACATCTGAACCCTTACCAGAGAAACAATAATCGTATCCAAAACCACCGGTTTTACAGAGTGATTGACAAGGAAATCAACAGCTTCAATTAGAAAAGACTTACTGTGATTGAATATGAGCCTTTGGATAAGAACGAATATGTCACTTCTCAAACCACCATTGCTCAAGACCAGTAACGCTGTGCAATAAGTCTCAACTGAGTGCTTGAATCCTGGTTGGTCAGAGACCCATAAAAAGAATTGAAGAACCAAGTAGTGATTGCTAGAGAGTTTAGATAGAATAAAAGCAGCCATTGATGGATTCATCGAAGGAAACTCAGTTTTGAGAGAGATCCACTGATAGTTTTGGACCAAGTTGCAGGCCCGGTCGATAATAGAGATTTCAAATTCCATAGAAGAGACAGCAGGAAGTGAGAAAGAGGAAGCATATGGCATACGGAGGAAACCCAAATGAGGTGAGATAGATAGAGGTCTGAAAAGGTGGTGGCCTTTGGCGTTGAGGAGGGATTTGAGGAGTTTTCTCATTGTTTTCTCTCATTTCTGTGATTTGGAAGGATGCAAAATGATGGGTATAAAAGTTTTCGGAGTGAAGATTGTGCACAGTGAGGAATGAGTTGGTCGTGAGGAATGAGTTGGTCGTGGAGAGAGACAACCTGCCATTCACCGATTTCCCTTGCGGGCCTGCTGCGCATCGTAGCAGCTCTGTATATAAAATAAATTGGTGATATGATATGCATGTAAATTAAATATTAATGATTATATAAAATTTTAAACTGAATAAAATTATAAAAAAAAAAAAACAAATATATATATATATATATATAATATAAAAGGAAAAGATAGGGATTAGCTACATATACGAGTTCAATAACCCACATTGAATCTGGATCGATCTGACGATTACGGATGTTCGATAATACTTGAATTTTATTAAATTTTCTATAAATTCAAATCACTTGTAATTTTAGTTGTGTGTTCTTCTCATCAAGGCGAACCTAATAAAAATATAAAAACAAATAATTCATAAAAAATAAAATAACCAAAATACCCTCAAAACTTTTCGAGGGTATTTTGGTCACTTTATTTTATGTAAAATATTTTTTTGATATTTTTGGAAGATTCATCTATTTTTGATGAACACACGTCTAAAATTTTAAGTGATTTGGATTTGTAGATAAAAACCTAAAATTAAAATACTACTGGACATCCGTGATCGTCAAATCGGTCCAGATTCAATCTGAGTTGTTGCACTCATATGTTCATAAGAACTAGTCGGCTAATCCCATCTTTTTTTCTATATATATATATATATATATATATATATAATTGTCTAGTATTATTGAGGATTCTTTGTTTGGTGTCATCGTCTACATAGAAATCCCACCATCCTCGTAACCAGCCAGAAATGAACAAAACCAAGAAATAATATATACAGAGAGTGATGCTGTCAACACTCTAATATGTACCATTACACTTTATTTTGTAGGCAGTACAGCTTTACTAGCAGCAAGATCGGAAGATCTGCTATCTAATTTACGTTGTCCTACCCTATCTCATTATAAATGGTATAAAGATGTATTTTTCTCAAGATTATTAATAAGAGAAGACTGTCAGCTAGACCACTGGAAAGAGAAGTTTATAGCTGGTCTACCATATTTATTTTCTGAAAAAGTCAAGGAAAGATTAAGGAAAAAACATAATGGAATTATTGTCTATTCATCATATACACTCGGAGAACTCTCCGCAGAAATATGTGCTGAAGGTTTAGCCTTATGCACAGATATGAAATTAAAAAGACAATTAGATAAACAAAAGATCACTAAGCGAAAAGAACTTGATGACTTCTGTGAACAATTTGGTTACTACCTTGATAAAAAAAATATGCCTGACAATCTATATAAGAAAAAAAAAAATACAAAAAAGAAAAGTATAAATCCAAAAATAAGGATAGAAAAAAAAATATTATAAAAAAACTAAAAGGAAATTAATCAATAAATTTTCTCCCAATAAAAAGAAAAAGAGAAAATTACCAGTTTGTTATAAGTGTGGTAAAGTAGGGCATTATAAGCACTAATGTAAATTAAAAAAGAAACTAGAAGCCTTACAATTAGATGAAACAATAAAATCAAAATTATACAATATAATTAATTATGATTCTTCATCTTCCACTTCTTCTGATTCCCATATAGATCAAATCCAAGATGATGATTTAATATGGACAGAATCTTCTGACTCTACTAATTCTTCAGATACAGAATCAGTAAGTTCAAAAGATAATGATAATTGTAATTGTCCAATATCAACCCATAATGTTCATACACTTACCCAAGAAGATAATTTTATCTTAGATATTATTGACAAAATTATTGATCCAGAAGAAAAAAGAGCTGTTATTACTCAATTTATATCTATTACAAAAAATAAAACAAAACCAATTCCTCTTAATAAATCCCCGGATGAATATAACTTTGCTTCAATAATGAAAAGAGTAAGTGATCAACACAATTCTCAACAAAAAGAACCAACCATTTCAGATCTCAAACAAGAAATCAAATAAATAAAGACTGAAATAGTTCAATTAAAAAATAGAATTAAATCATTAGAATTACAACAAATGTCTCAACAAGATTCAGACACAGATGAAATAGACTTTGACGAATTAATGAAACATAACCCCAATTCATCATTAGATATCCCTGAATCTTCAGAAGCCAAAATAATATATGCTCCTTCGGTGAATCTAATAAACAAAATAGTAATACAAAAATGGTTTGTCTATGTTAAGATTATTGTTGCTCAAGATTATAGTTTTGAAACATCAGCTTTAATAGATTCTGGAGCTGACTTAAATTGTATCAATGAAGGAATTATACCTTCAAAATATTTTGATAAAACTACTCAAATATTGAATACAGCAGATGGAAGTAGATTATTTATTAAATATAAATTATCTAATGCTTCTGTTTGTAACAATCACCAATGTATAGATATATCATTCATAATGGTAAAAGGATTAAGCTAAGCAGTAATACTTGGTGTTCCATTCCTTACTTTGTTATATCCTTTGACTATAGATGAAACGGGAATATCTTCAGTTATTCACAATATTCCAATACACTTTAATTTTATACATAAACCAAAGTTGAAAGAACTCAATAATGTCAAAAGTCAATTGAATAACAAAGAAAGATTTCTTTGTACCCTTAAACAAGAAATTAAATATAAAGCTATTGAAGAACAATTACAAACTTATTCAATACAACAAAAGATTCAAGCATTACAACAACATATAGAAAGCTCAATATGTAGTGAGCATCCTAATGCTTTTTGGAAAAGGAAAAAGCATAGTATCAGTCTACCATATGAACAAGGATTTGATGAAAAACAAATACCTACAAAAGCTAGACCAATACAAATGAATACTATCTTATTAGATATGTGCCGAAAAGAGATTGATGATCTCCAACAGAAAAAAATTATAAGATCAAGCTCCTCACCTTGGAGCTGTGCAGCCTTTTATGTTAATAAAAATGCTGAAAAGGAACGAGGAGTTCCTAGACTTGTTATTAATTATAAACCTTTAAATAAAGTCCTGAAATGGATAAGATATCCGATTCTCAATAAAAAAGATTTATTAGATAGAGTTGCTCAAGCATGTATCTTTTCTAAATTTGATATGAAATCTGGATATTGGCAAATACAAATCCAAGAACAAGATAAATATAAAACTGCATTCAATGTTTCATTTGGACAATACGAATAGAATGTTATGCCATTTGGTTTGAAAAATGCTCCATCAGAATTCCAAAAAATAATGAATGATGTTTTTAATGCTTACCATCATTTTATGATAGTATATATTGATGATGTACTAATATTCTCGGAATCGATAGATCAACATATCAAACACATTAACACATTTATACATGCAGTCCGGAATGCTGGATTAGTTGTTTCAGCCAAAAAGATAACCTTATTCAAAACCAATATAAGATTTCTAGGACATATGATTCATCATGGAACTATCATTCCCATAGATAGATCCATACAATTTGCTGATAAATTCCCTGATCAAATACTGGATAAAAAGGAACTTCAAAGATTCTTAGGTTGTTTAAATTATGTTAGTGATTTCTATCCTAACCTTGCTTTAGACTCTAAACCTTTATATGATAGACTCAAAAAGAATCCTCCACCATGGACCAATATCCATATCAAGGCAGTACAGGTAATTAAAAGCAAGGTAAAGACACTAGACTGTCTCTCCCTTCCTCATCCAACTGCTTTAATAATTATAGAATGTGATGCTTCTGACAAAGGCCTCGGTGGTATTCTCAAACAAAAAATTGATTCTCAAGAACAATTACTTCGATATACTTCTAAAGCTTGGAATATTATTCAATTAAATTATTCCATGGTTAAAAAAGAACTCTTAGCAATCGTTCATTGTGTTTCCAAATTTTAAAGTGATATTTTAAACCAACATTTTCTCATACGAACTGACTGCAAAGCAGCCAAGGATATTCTGCAAAAAGATGTTCAAAATTTAGTTTCTAAACAAATATTTGCTCGATGGCAGGCTATCTTATCCGCCTTCGATTTTTCTATCGAACACCTTCCCGGGTCTTCCAATTCATTACCTGATTTTTTAACCTATGAATTTTTGCAGGGGGGGCAACACTGACTCTAACGACGAACAGCCCTTATCACTTGCCTTGCAACTGTTCGAAGATAATAAGAATATTAATATTTCACCTTTACTTTCACCTATTAATATGGGTTCTCAAGGCACTCTTCGTAGAGATAAACATCCCATAACCAGTAAAATAATACCATATGAAGGGGAACAACCGCCTTTGGCAATCCGTTCGCCTTCTCAATCTCCTGTCCACCAAATTACCTATTCTGAAGCAACAGCTTCAAAACCCATATATTCTCCAGCACAAAGCAAATCTGCTACTCCATCCAATACACCCAGATCCGCCTACCATGAAAGAGCCTATCTCATGGGTATTACTATCGATGAGAAATATATCAATACTGAGCCCATAAAACTTGCTCCTCTTTATTTGCTTAACCATCTTAACCCTTCCAATGGGGTTAAAACAAGAGAATACTTTGAAGCAATATTAATGGAAACAGGATTTCCATTATTTTCAACAAAACACTCGGACTATTGCATATCCTAAAGTCCAGATCAAAAATATACTTTCCTATGAAGAGTGAGGTTGCAATCCCGCGCATGGAAAGAAACTTCAAAATTCAGATTTTTCATACAAGTATTTTAAGTATGCCGAATACATTGAGGCATGGCACAAATTTTTCTATTATCAAAATCCTAATTATACTCATAGCTGGTATATCCAGTTTAGATTACAAATTTTAGAACGTTTTCCCACCTGGTTCAAAAACTGGTTTTTTGTGTGGAGATCAACTGTTCAAATTTTACCACCTGCATTCAAAGTAGTGCAAGACAAATTCCAAGCCTATAACCAAAATGACACCACCATAGACAATCACCTCTATTTTATGGCCTTATACCAAATACCTTAGATAATGAAATGAGAGTACACCATCTCCCCTGATACCACCTCTGATTATACCTATATACCTAGACTTGGAAAGACCATTTCCGTAAAATGGTGGGACATCTTTAATATGGACCCATCCTCATTTACTCCAAAAAGAATTCCTCCAAAACCTCTGG